TGGCACGTGGTAAGCTTTCAATAAACGGTAAGGGTCCCCGGGTGGCACAAACGGTTTGCACTCATCTACTAGCCTAAAGGTTGGTGTTTAAAACCTACCCAGCAGCACCCTGGGAGAAAGGCCTGGTGATCTGCTTCCATAAAGATTACAGCCAAGTATGTATAAATATTTGTATGAGAGACTAACTTGAATTGTAAACTTTCACTTAAAGCACAATTTAAAAAAAAAAAGATTACAGCCAAGAAAACCCTATGGGGCAGTTCTACTCTGTAACACACAGGGTCACCATCAGTTGGAATCAACTCGATGGCAAGGGGCTTGGTTTTTGATTTTGATAAATGGTATCTCGTATTTTCTTCAAAGTGTTTGAGTGGGTACACTGTACTCGCCTGACGTTTCTTGAGCGGTCCCTGTGGGTCAGATGGCCTGCTAGGGGCTGGGGTGTGTTTGTACAGGCATATCTGGGTTCTTAGCTGAAGAACATGTCATGGGGTGTTTCTGTGCTGTGGCCACCTTGCTGATGCAACAGCTAAAGGATTTATCAGCTTCCAGGGTGTCTTTAGAAGAGAAGTGAAATGTCAGCCACGGTTTCACTTCTTGAGGGCTTCAGTATCCGTCACAGTGGTGACTCAGTGGATTTGGGTGAGTCAGGAGGAGGGTTTTTGGAGATCAAAATAGTTCCTTCTAGGGGCTGCCTCCCAACTCACGCTTGCCAGCAAGGAGGTGAATCAGCCAGCGACATCTCTCTAACCCTGGGTCTACTTCCTGGAGTTTATAAGCCATGGGTTTTGCACAGACATGTCGCCCTGTCAGAGCCAGAGCCCAAGAACCCAGCCCCGTTGGCCCCGCTCCAATTTGGGTAATTACATTGGACCCACCTAAGGTTCCCCTGGGATTTTCAATTAGATATGGGATGCTTCTTCCTGAGTGCCTGTAATCTGTCACTTGCTACCCTGTTAAACAGATACTGCATTCCACCCCAGAGGCAATTGGCTGCCCTTTAATGATGAGAAAAAAATTGCTCCTTTCTCCCTCCCAACCCTGGGAATCCCTGAGGCAGGGTGGATCTGTGCCTGGGAGTGTCCTGAGGGTCTCGGATGCCTTCCCCGGGTGACCTGCTGAGTCCTCTGAGACCTTTATTATTCTCGGGTGATTTGCAAACAGCTCACATTGGAAACTGCAAACACACTTAATCCCGTTGTGGCCAACTCAGAGCCTTTGATAGATGTGTTCTGTCCATGAGGCACGACCAGGTGCTTTTATAACTGAGCAATGAGGCTCATAAAAGCCTGGTCACAATGCACTGTGGGCCGCCCTGGGCTTGATCTGGTCTGACATTTGTGATTCGCCCAGCCCCATCTGACGTGGTGGTACCAGCTCTGGATGATGACAGACTGTCAGGTGGGGGTCAGGATGTCGGGGCTCACTTACCTGCTTGTCATCAACCCACTGCTTTTCTCTGCATTCCCTATGTTCCCAGAACAGGGCTGGAGCACTCAAAGATGGGTAAAGTCCAATCCCCATCCTGGAAGAGCTAGGCAGGCACACAGCATGGAAAATTTAAGTGTTATGTGCAGAGAAAAGAAGAGTAACAATCATAGCCAGAATGTAGCAAAGGCCTGGACACACTGAGCTAAGAGCTTTTACAAAGGTAATCTAGTGTCATCCTTCCAACGCCCCTGCTGGTTAGTATTCTTATTTTTAGTTATGGATGAAGTGGTGACTTGCCAAGATGGTAGTGGTGCTGGGATTTGAATCCAGGTCTACTGGACTCCAAAACCCACATTCTTTTATTGAGTCACAGAGAGGAACACCTAACCCAGTCAGGCAGACAGGGAGGGGGGAGTGGCCAGAGAAGTTTCCCTGAAGGAGGTGAAGAATGAGGAAGAGTTGGCAGGGAAAGTAGGTATTCCTGGCAGCAGGAACAGCATGGCAAAGACATGGAGCTGCTGAGCAGTGTTGTGTTGGCTAGTTCTGGAAGGTAAAATGGGTGCAGGGGGACATGGGAGATGAAGCTATTGCTCTTGTTTTTCCTCTGCTGGCAATGCCCTTCCCCACCTTTTCTGCTTGAAGAATTCCTGTTCATCTTTGAGGACAAATGTCACCTCTTCTAGGATGAATTTATGGATTCACCTGTTGGAATTAGATTTTTTTATGGTGGGAGAGGGGGTTGCACTCTTAATGCACAGAATTTTTACCTTTATTCTAACGTATCATGTCTTCTAAAAATAATAATGGTGCTTTACATTCAATCTTCATAACAACCCTGGGCGGCAGTATTATTACCCACCCTTTTACAGATGAAGAACTGGAGCTTAGGGAGGTTAAGAGACTTTTCTTAGGACACAGCTACTGAATGGGGAAGCAGAGATTCAAACCCAAGTCTGCCTGCAAAGCCTGTGCTTTTGTCCACTCTGATAACTGCCTTGAGTGGTCGCTAGTCGTGGACTCGTCCTCGCCTTGCAGTGGATTGTCAAGTACTTGGGGGCATTCAGTACAGAACAGTCTGGACTCTCCTGAGTGCCTGGCATGGGACCACACACATTGTTGGTGCTCACTGAAAATCCACAGAGCTGGGCTGAAGGTGCCAAGCTCTCCTGGCTGTGTTGATGGAGTGGAGGGGGAGGGTTTAACCCGTTCTCTCCAGTAACATTGGTGAAACGCTGACTCATCCTCCTCCAGCCTCCTGCAGACTGTCCCTGCTTTGGTAGGGAGCCACCTCATGGTCTTCTCAAAGAATAGGATGGGAATCTCAGGCTTGGGGGTGACCCAGACCGACAGGGCTGAACAATGGTTAGCTCCTCCAGCTCTAGTTTCCAGGAATCAAACCCATCTCAACAATGCCAGTCACACACTCAGCAGATTTCTGGGGGTGCTTCGAAAGGGGAGCCACAAGCCAGAACAAGGAGAAGTCAGCTTTTATTTAGAAGGTGGAAAGGCTGTTGATCACACACTATAACCAGTTCTTCCATGCAGACTGGAGGGAAAGAAAGGAGGCGACTTATTTTCCCTTTTCCTGTGGACACCTTTCTTCTAAATGCATCCACGCCACCCAAGGTCAAGAAGGGGAGAGTGTTGACACATCGCGGGGTTGGCAACCAATGTCACAAAACAATATGTGTATTAAGTGTTTATTGAGAAACTAATTTGCTCTATAAACCTTCATCTAAAGCACAATTAAAAAAAAAAGCAAGGGGAAAAAAAAAGAGAGAGATGAGAAAACAAATAAATAAACGCATCCAAGCCAATTCATCCCATCCATCACAAGACGTGAGCTTCAAGGATATTTACGATGGCTTTCAATGGCTTCCTCAGGGCAACTTTGGTGTGAACAGCCCCCAAAACTCCCATTCCTGAGGCTTGGTTGCTCTCTGCGACCAAGCTGCAGGTGGTGATGCTGCAGGGATAGTAATACTAATAATGACAGCTTTTATTGCGCACCTACTATGTACTGGCACTATGCTAGGTGCTTTACATACCTTTCTCTATTTATTATAACTCCGTTATAAAGAGTGGGTGATATTTCTCTTGCCACAGACACTGATACTGAGGTACAGAGAGGTCAGGGGATTTGTCCGAGGTCTCACAGCCAATAAGTGGCATGACTGGAATTCAGACCCAGGTCTGTATGACTCCAAAATTCACTCTCCTCTGCCATGATGCCTTCCCAAAATTGCTAGGTACCAGGAGACTTTAGTTCTAGAAAAGGTATTACCACCAACTTGCTTGACTTCAGGTGAATTACTTTCTCTGGGCGCCAACTTCTTTGGCAAAGTAAGGAGGTTGGATGAGACATCTCTAGGTCTCTCTTAGTTCTCTTGAGTTTAAGAATGCCTCTGTCTTGGGAGGTATTGGCCAAAGGGCAGCAGAGAGTTCCAGTGCCAGGAATCCTGGGTGCCTTCCTCTTCTTGAATGGTCTACTTCTAGGTGAGGTGAGGCTCCCTTGGCCATTCAATGCTGTGAGGACCTTCCCTTCCCTTTCAGTGAGAGGCCTTAGAGGAAGATCCAGGCGTGAGGCAGAAGTTGGCAGCCTTTCTATTGCACAGTCCGGAGAGTAGTATGACTCCCATAGCAATCCCAGAATCCCCTAGGCCAGCCCAGTGGAACCCTTGGAATTGAGGTCTGACAAAAGGTCACAGCTCCAAGGGATCTCAGGTCATCTTGTCCAACCCCTTCATTTTACAAATGGGGAAACTGAGGCCCAGAGTGAATTAGTGACAGAGCTAGAGCTCTAGTACAGGTTCTATTTATTCATTCTTTCATTCATCCTCTCAATACCAGAGATAAAAGATAGACTCTCTTTCCTGAAGGAGGGAGAGACAGACCTGAAAACAGACAATTAAACGATAAAAGTAGTGAGTGTAATGCAGAGTTCTCTTGATTTTCCATTCTGGCATCCTGCTTTGGCAGGAAAATTTTTAGTAGGATTCTGGAACTTCAAAGCTGGCATGGCCTCTAGAGATCTGCTGGTCTTGAGATGGCAAGTCCCCGGAATGTGGGCTGCCGCCTCCTCTTTCCTGGCCCATGGCAGACATCACAACTGGATCACCAATGCCTCGTCCCATTGAGCCTAAGTGAGGCCTCAGAGTTCTTGATACAGAGCTCCAGCCAGGCACCACCAATCAATCAGAGCTGGCACATGAGATGAGTGCTATCTGCAATTCCTGAAAACTCAACAGCAACATCTACAAGAGATGTGCACTGAGCTCTCACTATGTGCCAGGCCCTGTCCTGAGTACTGTGGTTTAGGTGCATCATCTCTTTTAATCCTAATAACAAGCCTATGAAGTAGATCTTGTTATAACCACCGTTGTGCAGATAGGGAAACTGAGGCAGGAAACCCAGATGCCCCAAGCTCACTAGCAGTGGAGCCAGGGCTCTACCCAAGGTCTACCATGCCCAGACTGGACTTGGTGCTGTCCACATCTTGGCTATGTTCTAAAAGCTGGCATTTCCCCAATAGATGCTTTAGTGACATCTTCACATTGTCTTTTCTGAAGGAAAAACCCCATCCTGAACTTCTCGGCCCAGCCTTTGCCTCTCCCGCCAAAGCCGCCTTTCCCAGGCCCTGGTCAGTATGACATCGTGGACTACACAGGGCCCCCCAAGCATTTCATCTCGAGTGCGTCGTTCGTGTCGAACACCAGCCGATGGGCAGTGGATCCGTCCCAGCCAGGACTGCCTGGTCCAGGTCAGATGATTGTTTTAAATGATTGTAAAAACCACATATTCTGGAATTGTTTGTCATTCCTGGGCCATCAAATGCCACTGATTTATAGGCTGTTTGCCAAACAGGTTACAGGGGTTAGAGTAGATTGAGAAGAGTTACCAGCTCACATTCTCAGAGTATACTTTTTTTTTTTTAAATTGAAAGGGCTTTTCTAGATGACCGAAACCAAAGATGCATAGCTGATGACCATGAACCTTCAAGAGGCTCAAAGATGGGCTCCTGGGGGTCTGGCCTTGAAATTGTATGCAGATTTGGAACATGCATACATTTTCTGGGGAGGAAAAGGTCCATAGCTTTTTCAAATCCTCAAAGAGATTCATGTTCTTTTTTTTTAGTGTTGTAAAAAAGTATATATAACACAAGCTTGCTAATTCAACATTTTTCAGGTGTACAATTTACAGGTCCATGTTCTTAAAAGTATTGACACCACTGATCTAGTCTGGCCAAACCATTTTACAGTTGGGGAAGACCTGGGAAGCAAGTTGCCCACAGATCTACAGGGAGTTAGTGGCAGGCAGAGAGCCAGGCATGTTTCCCCTCTCTGCCTTGTTTGTTATGAAATAAACCAGAGAAGAGTCAATGGAACACTTCTTTTAAGCCATCTAGTTCAACTTCCTTTTTACAGATAAGCTTAAGCAATGATACCCTGTTACCTTTGGGATCTACCTGAGGGCTAACATCACAAGGGGCTGACAGGTGGTATCTGTATTTATCTACCTATCTATAGCTCTCTGGAGAGTCCCTTAGCTATTTACCACTCCCCTACCATGTCCAGAGCTGGTGGCATTGGGGACTGACAGCTGTGCAGGTGGCATGGGAGGATGAAGACAGATCTGAGATGGCAGCTGCTGTGTCCACTAATGCAGCATTTCACTGAGCATTGAGGATGCTCCCACCCGTAGGAGACAAAGAAGAATTAGACCCGGGGTTTGCCTCCCAGAAGCCTCAGTCTGGTGGCGAGACATGCTCCCCTGACACACACGAAAGTAAAGGTAGACCAGATAGGGAAGACGTCACTCTCATAGCTTTGGCCTTGGAAACGTAGTGATAATCAAACCAACAAGACTGCAGAGGCTTGACCTTGGGGTATCTGGTCAGCCCAGGGAGAACTCAGTTTGGGTCGGCAAATGTACAAATGCTGCACTTGAGTAGTGAGCTCCAGGAGGCCTGGGAACGGGCTGGGCACCCTTGTTTGACCCTGTTCGGCCCAGTACGCTAGGGCTTTCTCGGAGTGCCTTCTCTGTGCCATATCTGGTGCCAGGATCCCAGCACACAGGTACAGGAGAGTGGGCTTCCCTGATGGACCTTCTGGGCATACCCACATGCAGGCAGCTACCCTCTTGGCTCCTAGTGGGCACAGATGTACTGGGCTCCCGTGTGCTCCCATCAGCAGCTTCCCAGGCACACCAACAGAGAAGCTGTTCACAGGACCCTCGTAAACCAAATCACTGTCAACATGGGAGACTCCAGTCTCCTCAAAGGTGTGGTTCCTAGTCCTGCTTGGTCATGGCTGTTCATCTCCTAGAGAACTGTGTCTTCAATTGTCATTGCTTTCACTTTTCTGGAAATTTCTGTAATAAACAAAATTAAAACAAAATCCCAGCAAGCTAACACCTTGCTTTTTAAGAGTATTGCTTTCCTCAGTATTTTTGCAGATTTTCTGCTGTGGGTTTAAAGAAGGCAATAGTAGGGTTCAAGTTCTGCCTCGGCCAGTCAAGAGCCCTATGGCCTTGTCTCACCATGTGTAACACGTGGGGGCTGGAACAGGGGTCCTGCTGGCCTTTCCAGCTCTGACATAGAATGCTAGAGAGTCCAGCTACTCCAGCGACCAGCCTTTGCTCTCACAATGCTGTCTCCCTCTCTCCTTGCAGCCACGTACAAGCCGGAATTCCCAGGAAAGCAGTCCTTCCTCTACAACGAGGATAACAAATGGATCCCAGTGTTGTAGTGACATCACACCAGCTCAGGGAGAACTCTGGCTTCAGCCCACCCCACCCTGCTTCCCCATGACATTCATAAAGAGAATGTGTATTTCCTGTGTGACACCCGATGACCTGGGGACAGCCATCCCATCCCAGCCCGGTGTTGTAACTGGGACTACTCCACTGACTCCACTGATTTCCTGAGTGGATGGAGCCTCCCTTGGTTACTTCACCAGACACCAGTCTGGCTTCTGGTGCACCTCCCCACCACGGACTCCAGGGCGGAGAGCCAATCCACCACTAAGCCAGCCACGGCGGATTCCTAGCCTGGAAGACTGGAGACTGAGTCAGGACTCTGGGACCTACAGTTTACCTACACAGTGGACAGTAGAGGGCTGGGGCCAAGCATTACCCTACCCTTCTGGCCTTGGCTTCCAGATGCTTCTTTGACTTCTAGGAGCAGGGAAGTCCCAGAGGCACCTGTGACCGAGACACAAAGGTTGTCTGGGCACCTTCCCCCAGCTAAGCCCTTGTATCTCATCTTCAGAAGAACGTGGATGGTATAGAAGCTAATCACCATGGTCACTTGTACTCATAACCCACCTTCTGCAGAGGCCACCCCATCAGCTTATAGGCTCTGCGTTCAACAGCAGACATGTACAGGGCCCTGTTGGAGCCAAAGCCCTGGATGGAGACAGCGTTTCTGAGGTGCAGGAAGGCTATGCTGCACGCTCGCCTACAGGGTCTTCCTTTCCCCTGACCTTTCCCCTTCCTCGGCCTGGGGCTCTGTCCCCTGCCTGACCTACTGCTCCAATGTCACGTCAGAGAAAGTCTTGTTGACCAAGTTTGACTCAATCTTTAAAGGATCTTTTCTGGCCTCCTGAATCGTTTCCCCTTAGTAAGAGGAGGAGATTCCCAAAGAACCAAGAGGAGCAGAAGTAATCACACACCCCTCTTTCCCAAATATTGATGCTATTTTTCACTCTTGTGAGAGTCTCTCCCTGCTCTCCTGTCCCCCATCTTGATCCCTCCCTCCGCCACCCCCAAAACACACACAAGGCCTCTAGCTTCCCCTTGGCACTCTCCTTTAACTTTTCTCTCTGACGTTACATCCTGGGCCTTCATGTCAGAACTGGCTCCTGATTGGCTTTGGGGAGGGGTCAGTGAGGAAGAGGGAGGGAAAAACACGGAATAACATATCCCATTAAACTGAATTTTTCTCACAAAATCTAGCCTTTTTGTCACCTTCAGATTCCCAGAAGGGCCCTGTTGATCTGGGATGAAATGAGAAGCAGCCTGGAGCACTGTGCTAGGAGCAGTGGGTCAGGTCTGAGAGCTCACTGCAGCTGGGGACCTTTGGAGCCCACTGTGTCCTCTCAGTAAGCCCTGGATTTAAAGCAGAAACACTTGTGTTTCTATCCTGCTGGGACCTTAGCTTCTCTGTGAAGTGAAGACTTGGATTAGAATCCAGGGGCTCCAAGGTCAAATAGTTCCAAGGGCTGGGTAGGTAGTGCATAGAGCAAAACAGACCAGGTGGGGAGGAACATTCCGAGAAGCTGGGGCTGCTGCCATCTCCAGGGCCCTTCCAGCACCGCTCCAACTAATTGTTGCCAGATCTGCAGGTTTTTTCAATAGGATCCAGAAAAAAAAATTTTAATGTGAAATCTCTTGATTTGAAATGTTGACAACTATATTTCAATTAATTTTTTTTTTTTGTTCGCGCCAAATGAGACTCTCCTATGGGCCATCAGTTGGCCACCTTGGTGCTGGAAGTTCTGGAGACCCTTTGAAAGCTGAGTTGAAACTGTCCCATTCTTTGACCACAGATTTGATGCCAATGGGACCAGATCCTGAGGCCTTGGTTTTTAGGTTCTTCTGACCCTAGGGGACCTTAGCAGTCCACTGGGCTGGAGGCAGCCAGGCCCAGGGCCACTGCAGGCAAAGGCTGGTGGTGATCCATGAGGAGATAGAGACAGGACTTTTCTTGCCCCTGGACAGCTGGCCGAGCACCACTAGTTAGGGCCGTCTTGGCCATGTAGGTGTGGACTCGAATCAGAATCCACATCTGCAAAAGACATGGCTGGAGCCAAGGCGCTAAGCTAAGACACTCCGTCTTGATTGTTTCCAGCCTCATGGCTTCATCCGGACTCTTCTTAGTTTTCACTGCATCCAGCCCAGTGACTCTCAACCCTGGATGTACGTTAGGTCACCTCAGGAGCTGTGACCGAGATAGTCTGCCCAGGCCCCAGCCCTCAGAATTTCTGCTTAATTGCTCTGAAGTGTGGTCTGGACACTGGTATCTTGTTTAAAGTTCTCAGTGTGATGGTAATATGTATCTAGCTAGGGTTAGGATAAACTGATAGTTTAATAAAGTCATTCCCCAATTTTAATGCATGTGCAGATCACTCGGAAATGTTGTTAAAATGCAGATTCTGGTGTGGGGCCTGAGATTCTGCCTTTTTAACAAACTCTTAGGTGAAGCTTATGCTGCTAGTCCATGGACCATGCAAGGGACTGATACACTTAGTTGTTCAACTCTTCATCTGTAGGTTCACGTATTTGTCCTCTTTCCTTCCCTCCCTTCTTCCTTCCCTCCTTCCTTCCTTTCTTCCCCTCTTTCCCTCGTTCATTCATTCCCTCACTCCTGCTTTCCTCATTCACCCCTTTTCTCCGCTCACTCGCTTGTTCTAGGTTAAAATCAAGATTTTACAGATAGGCTCAGTATTACTGGTGTTCCTTTTGCCTCAGCCTCCAATAGTCAGGTGATGTTTTCATAGAGCAACAGAGCTGTGTTTCTGAAGTGACCACCTGTTTGGAAAGGGCTTTAACTTGTCTTTACTCCTTTCGCCATCTGATCTTCTTCAGAGTGGGAGATAATCTCTGAATGGCAGCTGTCAGCCCAGGAGTTGCCTCTTTCCCCCTGGCTTTCTCTGAGGGCAGGATCTGAGGTTCCTCAAGGTTTGTGGGGCTCTCCTTGGGGTCCAAGTGGCCTTTCTAGGGATTGGAAGCCCTCTTTATGTGAAGGGGAAAGAGAAATGTGCCCTGGGGGCTTTGCTGGAGCTGCCCAGATGTGTGTGTGTCGGGGGCGGGATGGGGGCTGAGGGAGCTGCTGTTCTGGTACTGAGCTCTTGGACAGGGTTTGCAATGACGCTGACAGTTCCTTATGTGGGTTAATCTAGCCCGGCACTGATAGAGCACAAAGGCTTCAAGGCCTGTACCGTAATTATGGTCTCTTTACAGCCCTGGTTCCCAGCCTTGATTGTACATTGTAATCACCTGGGGAGCTTTAAAAAGTACTGTTGCCTGGGCCTCACCTCCAGAAATTCTGATTTAATGCTCCAGGGTAGAGTCTGAGGAGATGGGGGGCGGTGAGGCGGTGGGGAAGGAGGTAAAAGCTGCCCGGTGATAACAACCTGTAATCAAGGTTGAGCAGATTTACCTTCTCCCTTTTCCAACAGGCTCTGGGAGGGGAGCTGGGCTGAAGGCTCAGGAAGAAGGAAGTTAACACATGCTGTGGTAGCACCTACTGTGTACCTGGCACTGCCCACATTCTATCATTTAACCCTCACTCATGAGCTTGCAACTTATTCATTGCAGATACCTTTTTTCAACAACATAAACAGTGACTATACATGTGGACCTCGCCAGACAGAATACACAGGAATCAAATCGACTACATCTGTGGAAAGAGACAATGGAAAAGTTTAGTATCATCAGTCAGAACAAGACCCGGGTCCGACTGCAGAACAGACCATCAATTGCTCATATGCAAGTTCAAGCTGAAGTTGAAGAAAATTAGAAAAAGTCCAAGAGAGCCAAAGTATGATCTTGAGTATATCCCACCTGAATTTAGAGACCATCGCAGGAATAGATTTGACACATTGAACACTAATGACTGAAGACCAGATGAGTTATGGAATGACATCAAGGACATCATACAAGATGAAAGCAAGAGAAGTCAGCATAACTGGACTAAACCAAAGCTAAGAAGTTTCCTGAATACAATCAAACACTTCAGGGGACAGAGTAGCAGGGGCAGGGGTCTGGGGGGACCATGGTTTCAGGGGACATCTAGGTCAATTGGCATAACAAAGTTTATTAAGAAAATATTCTGCATCCTACTTCAGTGAGTGGCGTCTGGGGTCTTAAAACATAGCGAGTGGCCATCTAAGATGTATCAACTGGTCCCAACCAGCTGGAGTAAAGGAGAATGAAGAACATCAAAGACACAAGGAAAGTATTAGCCTAAGAGACAGAAAGGGCCACGTAAACGAGACTGCACCATCCTGAGACCAGAAGAACTAGATGGTGCCCACCAATGACCGCCCTGACAGGGAACAAAACAGAGAGTCCCTGATGGAGAAGGAGAAAGGTAGGGTACAGAACTCAAATTCTAGTAAAAAGACCAGACTTAATGGTCTGACTGAGACTGGCGAAACCCCAGAAAGCATGGCCCCTGGACTCTGTCAACCCAGAACTAAAACAATTCCCGAGGCCAACTCTTCAGACAAAGATTGGACTGGACTGTGGGACATAAAATGATACTTGTGAAGAGTGTACTTCTTAGCTCAAGCAGATACATAAGACTAAATGGGCAGTTTCTGTCCGGAGGTGAGATGAGAAGGCAGAGAGGGTTAGGAGCTGGTTGAATGGACACGGGAAATCTGGGGTGGAAAGGAAGCATGTACTGTCACAGTATAGGGAGAGCAATTAGGGTCATATAACAATGTATGTATAAATTTTTGTATGAGAGACTAACCTGAATTGTAAAATTTCACTTAAACTATAACGATAAAAAAAGAAGAAGAAGAAAGCAAGAGGTCATTAAAAAGACAGGAAAGAAAGAAAAGACCAGAATGGATGTCAGAAGGGACTCTGAGACTTTCTCTTGAACATCAAGTAGCTAAAGCAAATGGCAGAAATGATGAAGTGAAGAGCTGAACAGAAGATTTCAAAGGGAAGCTTGGGAAGACAAAGTAGTATAATGAAACATGCAAAGACCTGGAGTTAGAAAACCAAAAAGGAAGAACACACTGGGCATTTCTCAAACTGAAAGAGCTAAAGAAAAATTCAAGCTTCGGGTCGCAATATTGAAGGATTCTATGGGGAAAATATTAAACAATGCAGAAAGCATCAAAAGAAGATGTAAGGAATACACAGAGCCAATGTACTAGAAAGAATTGGTTGACATTCAGCTGTTTCAGGAGTTAGCTTATGATTGAGAACCGACGGTACTGAAGGAAGAAGTCCAAGCTGCACTGAAGGCATTGGTGAAAGGGCTCCAGGAATTGACAGAATACCAACTGAGATGTTTCAACAAACAGATGTAGCACTGGAGATGTGCTCACTCATCTATGCCAAGAAATTTGGAAGACAGCTACCTGGCCAACCAACTGGAAGAGATCCATATTTATGCCTATTCCAAAGAAAGGTAATCCAACCATATGTGGCAATCTTTGAACAATATCATTAATATCACACGCAAGTAAAATTTTGCTGAATATCATTCAAAAGCGGCTACAGGAGTACATCAACAGGGAACTGCCAGAAATTCAAGCCGAATTCAGAAGAGGACGTGGAACCAGAGATATCATTGCTGGTGTTAGATGGATCCTTGCTGAAAGCAGAGAATACCAGAAAGATGTTTACCTGTGTTTCATTGACTATGCATAGGCATTCAACTGTGTGGATCATGACAAATTATGGGTAACACTGCAAAGAATGGGAATTCCAGAACACTTAATTGTGCTCACAAGGGACCTGTATATAGATCAAGAGGCAGTCGTTCAAACAGAACAAGGGGATACTGTGTGGTTTAAAGTCAGGAAAGGTGTGCGTCAGGGTTGTATCCTTTCACCATACTTATTCAATCTGTATGCTGAGCAAATGATCCAAAAAACTGGACTATATGAAAAAGAATGGGGCATCAGGATTGGAGGAATACTCATTAACAACCTGTGATATGCAGATGACACAACCTTGCTTGCTGAAAGTGTAGACGACTTGAAGCACTTACTGATGAAGATCAGACACCACAGCCTTCAGTATGGATTACGCCTCAACGTAAAGAAAACAAAAATCCTCACAGCTGAACCAGTAAGCAACATCATGATGAATGGAGAAAAGATTCAAGTTGTCAAGGATTTCATTTTACTTGGATCCACAATCAACACCCATGGAAGCAGCAGTCAAGAGATCAAATGACATATTGCGTTGGGCAAATCTGCTGTGAAAGACCTCTTTAAAGTGTTAAAAAGCAAAGTTGTCACTTTAAGGACTAAGGTGTGCCTGACCAAAGCCATGGTGCTTTCAGTTGCCTCATATGCGTGCAAAAGCTGGACAATGAATAAGGAAGATCAAAGAAGAACTGATACTTTGAATTAGGGTGTTGGTGAAGAATATTAAATATACCATGGACTGCCAGAAGAACAAACAAATCTGTCTTGGAAGAACTACAGCCAGAATGCTCCTTAGAAGTGAGGATGGTAAGACTTCGTTTAATGTACTTTGGACATGTTAACAGGAAGGATTGGTCCCTAGAGAAAGACATCATACTTGGTAAAGTAGTGGGTCAGTGAAAAAGAGGAAGATCCTCAATGAGATGGATTGACACAGTGGCTGCAACAATGGGCTCAAGCATAACAACGATCATGAAGATGGTGCAGGACCAGGCAGTGTTTTGTTCTGTTGTACGTAGGGTTGCTATGAGTTGGAACTGACTCAATGGCACCTAACAACAACACCATGAGCTTGCCTTGGCATCTTGGGTGATGTCACTGTAGCGGTGATGTCTCAGGTGGGCAGGGCAACTCTGGATGCTTCACAGGGTCCTTCCAGGCCATGCCAGGAGAGCCATATTGGAAGCTGAGGCAAAAGGAAACACAGGTAGTAATGATCCTGTCTTTAAAATTTTGATATATTTTGCTCATTACAACATTATTTTTATTTTGGTTTTTAAATATTGCATTGTTATTTTGATCACTGAGCTCTTTGGCACCCCCTTAAAATTTGCACTTGAGATGAGTGCCTCACTTTCCAGACCCTAGTCCCAGCTTTGACCCCAGGCAGGGGCTTGGGAATTTGGACCAGAGGGCTGTCAGAGCCAGGAGGCCCATAGAGATGTCCATGGTTTTCAACTTTTTATGTTTTTTTCAGACAAAAAGCTTACAAGAAACTAACATATAAACAGAGAAAGAGCTGCTATGACTGAAGTTGGGGGAGGATGTTTGGGGGCCTGCCTGCTGCCCCTCCCCTGCTTCTCCTGATCAAGGTGGCCTCTGAGACTCTCCATTGATCGCTGAGGATCTAAAGATGACAGTTACAAACAACCAATGTAGACTAGACACCACCCCCCCCCCACCATTTTATAGCCAGGAAACTGAGGCTTAGAGGTAGTAGTGTACTAGTAAGCTAGCTCTCCAAAAAAACAGAAAAGAAAAAAAGCTCTGATCTGTGATTTTTTTCTCTAGAGGAAATAAAACCCTGATTTGTAGCATTTGTCAATTCCTCTGGTGTAAATACTCCCACCATGGCCCATTTCAAGCCACCAAATAATATCGGGGACATCAGAGTTGAGAAGAGATGCACATATCACTTCTTTTTTGTGAGCTGGAGCCAGCTCCAGGGAAAGTGACTTGGCCCAGAGTTAGGGGCAGAGCTGGCACAAGAACTCAGGTCACATGGCCCCCAGCCCTGGGCTCTGTCCACTGCCCTCCATTGCGAGGTGCTCATCAAGGTCACCCTGGACCTTTCCCAGGACTTCTTTATCTACAGTCGATGATCCTAAGGTCCTAACATTCAGTCTTTTGGGACTGTCAGAGATCTGGTCATCGGGATTCTGCTGTCTTCCAGGGTGGGACACCTCTGCCATGCCAATGCCCAGCAACTACCACCATCCTATAAGTCCAGGACAAAGCATTCACAAGGTAGAGCCAGAGTGCCGGGAGAAAGGACAGAGACCTCATGTAAAAAGATTGAAAAGAAGCCTCGTCTACCTTGGCCCTCTCTAAAGATTTTCACAAAAGGCACAAGTGTACCATTTGAAGTAATACATAGGTATAATTTTATTACTAAATACCATATGAGTATACAAAATGCATAAATGTATAACAGCTAAAAAAAATAGTCCAAGAAATGTGAAATACACATTTTTTGAAATGTATCCATGAAAAATATAAAATGTTGCATATATATACAATATATTTATATATATATGTGTATATATATATATATACACATATATATATATATATAACATAAATGAAAATTGTAAATAAATGTATACAACAGTGAATGGGCATGGGGGAATTTTACACAGCAGTCACTATTCCTGTAGATCAGTCCTAGTATTTACATCTTGCATAGAGGAAGTCCATGAGAAAGAGAATGCTTCCATTGTAGTGTCTTTAAAAGTCATTCGCACTGAAAAACAAGACTTTTCAAGTTAACTGGCCAAAGGGTGAGAAATCCTTGGTCTGAAGTTGATGGAAAAATTGAGCGGTCCGTTCGGCAGGTGTAGCACTGCAGGGAGAGAGGATCTAACGCTTTCACCACCTAAATAGGAAGCCTGCGGGAGATCTGCTGCAGGAAATGGTCTCTGAGAGGAAACAGTCTGTTGGGAACATGTTAACCACGACGGCAGAGTCCCTGGTGAGCAGGCACTGGCAGGAAGTTTAGGAGGTGAATTCAAGCATGAGATGGGGGTTCAGATCGGGAGACCGCCAAGGTCTGACATCTGTGGGTTCGTGATTAGAGGGTCTCTTCCCTCAGGGAAGGCATTCAAGTAACAGCACTGAGGCATGTGAAGAGGTTGTGTGTGGCTCGGGGCCGCTTTCCAGAAGCCTCCTTGGCTGGAGTCTACACCAACAGGTCCAAGGGCTCGGGAGCTTGGGCCTTACAACTCCTTAAGGATGATCTGAATCTTCCCATCAAGTTCCCCCATGTCCAGCAGGAAGGCGACGTGGTTGCTGTAATGCTGAATGATGTTGTTGTCCATGTTGACCAGGATTCTAGAAGAGAGGAGGAGACTTGGTTGGAATATGACAGGCCTCTACCTGGCCATCTTGTTTTCAGACCCTCTGAGTGACAATGATGATAGGAATGGTTACTATTTGTTGGGTGCCCCTAATATTTCAGGTACTTCTCAAACATTCTCTCTGATCCTCTTAACAACCCTGCCAGATGGGTATTAACAGCCCCTCTTTACAAGGGGGCACAATGCCTAAGTGGCCAAACCACAGCGCAAACTCAGGCCTTCAATCACCATGCCCACAACTACTTACAGATTGGGTCTCTCCTAATGCACAAAAGTATGGGCATTTCTGAGCAACTAATATGTTGATCTGGGGGAGATGCCATGCTACCTGGTCACCAGGCCACATAGAAGAGGACTTGGACACAGAGTGGAAGTTCAAGTCCGGGGGGTGTGGTGGGTGGAACAGTGCAGTTTAGGTTAAGCAGGAGGCTGCAATGTGTCATTCAGGTGTGCCTGCCTGAGCCAGAGGCAGGTGCCACACAAGCCCCATGTCAGTTCCATTCCATGAAGCCAAAACCTCAGGGGGATGATACAATACACTGCAGGGGCTTGGCCCTTCCTCTCTCCACTCTCTTCAGGCTAGGACCTGGGGCCAATCAGAAAGAGACAGGACCTCCAAGGCTGTGGCTCTCTGCAGAGGGTCAAAACCATAGTTTATCCCAAAGGGCACACCTCTAGGTGCTACCTGACCTGATCACATCAGCTTTGCCTTTGTCTCTTCTGCTAAGTCATCTGGGCATGTAATGGCATGAATATCACCATCCATACATCTGTCATCCATTCATCTACCTGTCCTTCTTCTACTTATTCACCCCACTAGCATTTGCTAAGGCCTTTCCGTGTGCAGGGCCCTGTTCCAGATACAAGGGCCATATAGAGAGAGATGAATTAGGCCTAGACTACTCAGAATCTAGTAGGAATGGGAAAATGAATTTTTATAACCATATTACCCTAATTCATAGATGGGAAAGCTGAGGTTCAAAGAGGCAAGGTCACTTGCACAAGATCACCCGGTTAACAGATGGCAGAGCCAAGATTTGAAAGGAACAAAAAACCCCTATAAATACAAGTTAGGAAATGGCATGTACAAGGAAGCCAGGCTGGGAGAGAGCAGCTGAGGGGGATATGATTTTCAGTGGGGCAGGAAGGGGATGAGAATCCCAACAACTGCTTCCTGGCAGATAGGTGCCTCCTTTTACGAGGACCCCACAGGAAAGGGGAGGGGAGGGTTTGTGGCCTCGCCCCCCCCAACTCTTGTCTCCCAGATGGGACAGCGGGAGAGATCGGTGAGCCCAAAGCCTATGTAGTCATCTCTGCCAGCATCAGCCAAGCAGTGCCTCTTTCAGGAAGAAGTTCGGAGCTCGGGGCCCCCAGAGGCCTGTGTGCTGCCTGCCAACGTTTAATTACAGGATCCCGTTTCCTCAGGTCCTGTTTGGAGTTCCTTCATTTCACAGAGGCATTTTTGTCTGGGGACTGGAGGCAGGGTGCAGAGCAGAAGAGACCAGGGCTGGGGCTGAGGGGTGGGTGCTTTGTGAATGTCAGGTTTTTTTTTTTTGGTCTGTTTCAGATAGTGACATTTATTGGTGCTTCTAGGTGCCAGGCACTATGTGCCTTACTTAAGCCAACTGGAAGGCTGACTCCTTCGCCTCCCCCAGCACAGCCTCCCAAGGCCAGAGCTCACACCTATGCAGAAGGGATCCCAGACAGGCCCTCGGACCCTCTCACGTTCAGAGGTCAATGCCAACTGAGCCCTGGAGGCCAGGGCTTGTCAGGAACTGCTGTCACAGAGCACGGGCCTCTCATCACTTTCCAACTCCTCTCCGTCTCTGTCCTGGTTTGCATTAAACCCCTGGCCAGCTGCCAGCAAAAACAATGTATTTGCTAATCTTTCAAGCACTCAGTGGTGCTTGTAAAGCTGATTTTATCTACTTTTGTCCAGAGGACTCTTGAGAGGGTTTTATGAAAATAAACTAGGCCACTGATCAGAATTTCCTGTTCTTCAGATGAGGAGTCCGACTCCCAGGGAGGCCCCTCCTCTCCCAACAGGATTTTTGGGAAATATTCTCATTCAGGCTTTCAAACAATTCTAGTGCTGAGGTTTCATGGCTGAGGGGTTGGGGGAGGAGTGAGGGGGCGCATCCAAAGGGCCACTGAGTGATAGCTCTGTCCTGGGCTATGGGACCAGGCAAATAAACTGGCCGGCCTGGCCACAGCCTTTACTTGCACATTGCTTAGTACTTAGAGAACAAGCAGGAGGCCTGATAAAATAGTGGGTGTCTGCACAGGCTTCAGACAGGCTTGGATTCTTTCTGCCAGTTACTAACTCTGTGACCCTGTAACTACTCAGAACCTCAGTTTCTTCATCTGTGAAAACAGAGATAGTCATACCAAGCTCAAAGGGTCAATGAGATGATACCTGGGAGTTACTGAGCCCAGCGCCTGGCATGTAGGAAGTGCTCCGTAAGTGGAAGTTACTATAATTATGATTTAAATAGCTGGCTGGGGCTTAAGGGACAGACTTGCAACTCAGCCAGTGGGGCTAGGGTAGGGGGCATCCTTCCATGCATCCACCCCTCCCTCTCCCCACACACACATACAAGGCAGTTCCTGGCCCTTCAGCCCAGTCTGTGGTGGGATTCGTAGCGAATGCCTGACACAGGTGGGGCAGGGCCAAGGGGCGTGAGCGCTGGTACCAAAAGGGAAGTGGGGCTGGGCTTGTCTGGGCAGAGCAGAGCGTGCCCTCAGCCACGAAGTGGGTTCAGCTCCAGAGATCCTGTGAGCCCCAGTTTGAAACCAAAACTTGGAAGAAAAAAAAAAAACCTGGACACACACATAACCAAAACCAAAAAGCAGCCCTTCCCAGGGGCTACAGGGACAGACACCTCCCCTCTAACCTGTGGAAAGCTGAGTAGGGACCAAAGATGGGGGTAGAAGGGAGAAAGGGAGGGAGGAGAGGAGGGAGGGAGGCAGGCCTGGCCTGTAGGAAGGAGGCCCAGCCCCTGGGCCTGACTAGATGGGGCCTCAGGTGAGCATAGAACCTGCCTACTAAGCAAAGTCTTCTAAAAAGGAAAACCCACAGAAAATGGCCACAGGGCAAATTCCTGATAGCCCTCCTGGGGCTACCAGCAAGTGTAGCTGGAGTTAGACTGTCCAGAGCACGGGCCCGGCTGGCAGGGGGCTCAGGTCTGAGCTGTGGGCCTCAGGGCCAGGAGTATTTCCTGGGCCTGGGGCTGGGAATGGCAGTGACAACTCCTCACTGCCTGGAGCCCCATGCTGGGTAGTAGAGTGACCTGGACTGGAAGGGCCTTAGGACCCAGCTCACGGGCTCTGACCAGGGGACTGAAGCCTACAAAGGAAGTCACTATGCGGCCTTCCCTCCCCTAGCCAAGGGATCTGTCGGGCACAGTGCTGTGGCCCTTAGCACTAACCCCCAAGAGGGTCACTATGTAGCCCTAAGCGCTAATCCCAGGAGCCCCTGGCAGCGGCCAGGCACTGCCCGGCCCCCTGGAGGATGTAGCTTTACTCCCTCCTTCCTAGTCTAGACCTGAAGGTGGAGGAGGCCATGGAGCATCCCTGATGGCCTCCCAGCAGGTAGATGTCAGAATGAGGGAGGCCCCATCACAACACCCGTTCCAGACTCACTGCAGCCAGTAAGTAGCATGAGCTTCCCGCACCCTCCAACTCAACCAGTAGGACTGCTGAGCCCTCCTGCCTCTGTGCCTTTGCTCCAATGCTTCTGCCTCCTGAACATCATTTACTTCTTCTGAGCCTCTGTTTCCCTATCTGTAAACTGTGGCTAGTGATATCTGCTTCGTAGCGTGGGTGAGGGTTAAATGAGATGTGCTTAGTACAATATCTGGCACACACTAGGTCTCAAGTGAATGGTAGTCACCATAACTAGTATCATTATAATCAAATGACTTGCCCAAGGTTATCCAGTAACCTTGGGACTTGAAGTTGAGTCTTCTGATTTTGGCCTTGTACTTCCCCCTCCACCCTAGGAGTTCCTGTATGAAGGCCCTTCCACCTGTCTTTCATGCTCATCCTTGCCAACAGTGATCAATGTCTGGTCTCTGTAGGTGGAGGGATGACCAGTGGCCTCAGCCTGACGGAGGGCTGTCCACCCCAACTCCTCATCCCCTGGGCCTCTCCACCAAGGCCAAGTACAAACATTCGCCAGCACTGAGCATCAGGCCTCTGCTGGACAGAAAGAACCTGCTGGGAACTCCCTGAGCCATCACTTCTGAGAGAAAGGGGTAGGGTGGGGCTGTGGGGCAGGAGAGCTGTACTGGGCTGGCACTTACCCTCGCTTGCATTTCTTGTAGACTTTGTAAATGTTCTCTTCAGGGAACCCGTACTTCTCAGAGATCTGGAAGAGACCGGTACAGGATTCACTGCCTGCTGCCAAAACTTTCTTTTTTTTTAATTTTTTCTTTTTCAAAAGTGTATTTTTTTATATCATGATTTTTTATTTCCTGATTATAAAAGTAATATATATCCCTATTGTGGAAAAACACAAAGAAGAAAATTACAGTAATCTATAATCCTGTTTCTCAGAGATAAACACTAATAACATCTGGGTGTACTGCTTACCATCTTTTGGTCACGCATAAAGATATTTTTATATTCCAGATGGTTTTTACGTAACTTTTTTACTTGACATTGTATCGTAAGGTGTTCCACATCACAACAGACTCTTGCCGAACAGCATTTTTAGTGGCTGTAAAATACCCTGAAGAGCATCTAACCCACTTCACTTAACCCCTTCCCCATAGTCAGACGTATGGATTGTTCCAGTGCTGAGGGCACCATCCCCCAGCTGGGCAACCTTGGCCAGTGACTTATGGAGACAGTAACAGTGTCCACCTCACTGGTTTCTGGAAGAATCAAATGGATTGACCCAAATGAAACACTTAGGACAGTTCCTGGCATATACTAAGACCTCAACAAGTGGCCACTGTTATTATGTTAGAAGTGGAGCAATGGGGATGTTCCTTGCCCTGTTACCCATATGTTTCCCCTTCTAGGCAGGCATTATTATCCCCATTTTATGGGTGAGGAGGCTACGCTCAAAGAGGATAAGCCACACGCTCAAGGTCCAGACTAGAACCCAGATACCTGACTCCATCACATCCCCAGATGTTAGCGTTTAGTCTACAGATGAGGAAACATTGGCTCAGAAGGTTGCTGAGTGATCTGCCCGAGCTCACATGGCCAGAGGCAGCCCAGTTCTCCCAGAGCTCCCAGAGTTTCTGCTGTGGCAGACAGGTCTGTACTGGTCCTAGCTCCACCAACTGGAGTTGTGGGAACTTGAACAAGTCACCTTGCTTCTCTGAGCCTCGGTTTCCTCATTTGTAAACCGGATGCATTAACAGGGTGTACATACAGGTTGGTTCTGCACATGAATTGAGACAACTTTGTAAAGTGCTCAGCCCAATTCCTGACCTATAGCATGAGCTCAGTAAAGTTCTGGTGTTTAGGATTGCTGGCTGCCTTGCAGCTGCAACGAACCTCAAGCCAAGGGTTTCAGGTTAAGTTAGTTCTCTTTGGGCATTTCAAGAAGAGGACCAGGTCCAGCTTGTTACTCCCTCTGCCTTGACAGACTCCTCTAGGCGTGAAAAGTCCCTAGACTTTATTTTAATGGTGTTGTGGCTGGAAGCTACCAGGAAGAAGATCTCAACTCAGTCTAAGGAAGAATTTAGGAACTTTCTAACTATTGGTTGTACAAAGACAGCACAGGCTGCTCTAGGAGGTAGTGAGCTCTCCATTCTGGAGGCATGAAGTCAAGGGTAGGTACCCACTTGGAAGAGCTGCTGGCGAGAGAGCTCAGGCACCAGATGGGGAGCTGACCCTTTAAGGTACTGTCCAACCTAAAGATTCTGAGTCTGTATTCAAGTGACATTAATGGCCTTTTGTGAGCCCAACTTCCTGAGGGTGGTGCCAAGCAGGGCTGATGATACGTAAAGAGAACAGGATAACGCAGAGTGGAGAGAGCATGGGCTGGAATCCCAGCTCTGTCACTTCTAGCTGAGTAACCTTGGCAAGTCACCTGACCACTTGGAGGCTCAGTTTCCTCATGGGAAATGTGGCAATAGTAACAGTACCCACCTCTCAGGGTTGTTAAGAGAACATGAGGAGTTAGCAAATGCAACATGCTCGAGAAAATGCCTGGCACAAAGTGGGTCTTCAATAAAGGGCAGCTAATGTTGTTATTTGATTCGTTTTTCCCTTCCCCAGCCTGAGATCTTGAAACCCTATGGCTTTCCGGAGTGGTTGGACCTTTAAACACAGCTGGCCCTGGTAGGGGCTGTGTTTGCTCAGTTTTTAGCTGAGCCAAAAAGCTGGCTGTGGCTTTGGTTCAGGGCTGGGCTGTTTCACCCGCTCTCTGGCGGTTTGGGGGGCTGGGGAAGGCCTCCTTGGGCCTCATTGCCCAGACACTGACTTCAGCCACCCCTGTCAGTGCTCCAGCCAATCACAAGCAGGAGGCAGTGAGGCCCCCTGGAAAGAAAAAAAGAGTGTGTCTGGGCCTGGCCTTTTTGGGTTTCATTCCCATTAAAACAAACAGGTTTGCAAAGCCAACAAAAAGCCCTAGCCTGTCAGACAGCAGCCATCAGATTAAGGAGATTTATGGTGTGTGTGACTCCCAGGGCTGGGAGATAACATCACAGAGGTGCACCCCCACCAGCCAGCTCCCCACATCTCCCCAAACGGGGTGGGACAGGTTGACCACCAGAAAGCCAAGATTCCAGGATATTTCTTTCCAAGGATATTTCTTATGGGAAATCAGAGCAGTGTGGTGAAGAGGAGGTGGGGAGGAATCCCAGCGGGGGTCTGGCCAGGGCAGGGCAGGGGTCCAGAAGGCCTCTTACCGCATTCCTCAGCCCCTTCAGGTCTGGCGTCTTCAACATGAGGGCATCAAACACCTCCTCAGTCTCCCTCCGCACGTACAACAGAACTGAAGAGCAAAGGGGGAGTTTTTAGTGGTTGAGGAGGATAAATAAGCATGGGACCATCTCAGGGAATGGGGAAGCTTAAGGTTATTTTAACAGAAGATTGTTTTCTGCAAAGAGGGCAAATTCATGCTGAGGGTCTGTGCCCAGCTGGGAAACATGCCACCTGGCTCTGCAGGTCCCTACGTGCCTTTTTAGACTGTGTGCTAACTCTGCCGTTTGAATCCCCACCATCTATGTGACCTTGAAAAAGTTCTTTCAACATCATGAGCCTCAGTTTATGCATCTACAAAATGGCTCTGCCCCCATTTTCACGGAGTTGTTGTGAGAATTAATGACATAATATTTGGAAAGCACCAAGTGCAGAACAACACTCAGTTCATGGTTGCTGTAAGCTTTTGATCTTAGCTGCTGGCTTGGTTTTGTCTAATGGCCAGCTGCAGCCCCGGGAGGTCTGACCCAGGAGGTCAGCTAAAGTCACAGATCAGAGCGTCAAAGCTAGAAAGCCAGACGTCTATATCCCACCCACTCCCACCCCCATTAGAGAAAAGTATGGCGGACTTGCCCAACATCACGAGCCTGTTGCCGTTGCCAGCTGCCCCAGGACGCCCACGTCCAAATGAGGTCCAAGAAGGCAGAAGCCCTCCGGCTTTGTGGTGTCTCTCCAAGCACCCTGGTGCTCTCTTTACTCCCACTCCCAAGACTTGGCCCACATCCAGCACTGAGGGGTGAAGTAACCCCTCCTGCCTGGGCCAGGCCCTGCCCTGTCTGCCTGGCCAGGATCAATGTTTCGGGTGTTGTGAATGGCCTTATGGGGTGGTGGGAGCTGGCTGGGCTCAGGGAACAAATGGAAGGAGTGAGTTACCTCTCTGAAGATCATCTTCCTTGGGCTGCTTGGAAGGCAGAGGCTCAAAGTCCTCAGAGAAGGGGGAGCAGGTACGCTTCAGAGGCAGCCTGTTGGGACAGCATGGAAAGGCTTGTGAGGAACCCAGGGGGGTCCTGGAGACCAGAGGACCCAGATGGGCCTTCAGAGGCCCGAGAGGTAAAGAAGACCCCATGAGTGTACAAAGCAGTAGAATAGTAGTTAAGGTAACAGGTTCTGGAGTTGGACTGCCTGGGTTCAAATCCCAGCCCTCCACTTACTAACTGTGTGGCCTGGGATGAGTTTCTTAGCCTCTCAGTGTCCCTATCTATAAAATGGGGATGATAATAGAGTAATAATGACAGTACTTCATAAAGCCGTGGTGAGGCTAAAGGAAATAACGCACATTGCTCTTGGAACAGTGTGGGCCACACTGTAGGGCCTTAATAAATGTGAACTATTGTTATGATTATCAACATTATTCTGTTTTGGAAGAACCAGGCAGATGTGAGGCAATGGGAGGAGGAAGTACAGTGGGTTTTGGAGTAAGATTTAGGTTTCAGTCCTGCCTTTGTTACTTAATAGCTGTGTTGCCTTGGGCAAGTCACTTCACTTCCCCAAGCCTCAGTTTCTTCATCCATAAAATGGAACAATAACCCTTGCTTGCCTAACTCCCTGGGGCTGTTGTGAGGTGATAAGTGACATAATTTAGTGAGAAGGCACTTTATGAGAGGTACAGCTTGTTTATAGGGAAGAAACTGATAATAACAACAAATGATCTTCATAAAGTGCTTTCTCATTTACAAGGATCCCACACACTCACCCAACCTCTCATCTCCCCCTCATCCTCATGAGGTTGTTTTTCTCATTTGACAGATGTGTAGGCTGAGGCTCAGAGAGGTGAAGGGTTGGCCCACGGGCACAAAGGCTGTGGCTGACAAAGGGAAAGAAGTGGAAGGCCTTCCTGGGCCAAAGGGCCCAGGGACACTGGCCCCTCCTACTGCCTCCTGGTCTGGTAGATGTGTGTTGGGGGGTAGGGGGTTTTGATCCCCCTAAGTCCTCCAGCACAGCCTCCTCTCCTCACCCTTTGAATATGCACCACCATCTCAGAGGCTTTTTCTCCCCCCTTTTACAAGCAGGTTGTCTCACCAGAGATTCGCCAGCTTTTCACATAAAACAAACCCATAAAAACCCAGGCAGTTTCACTGAGAAAGGAGCATGGGCCTAGCTGGGGGGCTGGGTGCAGAGTCTCGGCTTCTTCCCCTGGCCCCAGTCCCTGGCTTGAGGGGTAGAGGGAGGGACAAGCAGGCTGGGGTAGGAGCAAAGAGGGGACTGGAGGCAGGGAGGTGGACCTTGGCTGCTTCTCTTCGTATCTGCTGGAGCTGCTGGGCCCTGCCGAGGGGACTCTCTGCAAAGAAAATAAAAGACGTTTGTTTTCCATCACATCCAGGAAGATGAGAGAAGTGCGCAGCTGCTGAAGGCTTCTGGAGAGGGGCGTTCTTGGGGAAGGGCTAGAGGAGGTGGAACATGTGGTTTCAATGCCTTTGGAGCCCACTCTGCTCAGACAAGTCCCTTCAAGTCAGCTGAGATCTTGAGTCTAAAGCAACTGTCCAGTCCAAGTTGGATGAACACAGAGGAGATGCTAAAGAAATGCTGGCTGTACTGCTTCTGGGGCAGTGAAGAGAGGATGGTGAACGTAGGAAGTGCTTTATATTTGTGCCAAGGGCTACATGAGAATTGGCTGCTCTTTCTAGAAAAGTATAGAAAATCTAGGAAAAAATACTTCTGGTATTTGCTCCATAATGTACCTTATCGTTCTGAGTCAATATACTAATTACATCTTGTACACAAAGGACCATTTCTGCAAACATCCCCACCTAAATGACAGCAAGTTATAACCTCTAATGGAAGGAAATGGCCAAATTGTTTAATATGGAAACAAACTAGTAGACAGTTCTGGAATCTTGAATTGGCCATTGACTTGTTGTGTGACCTTGTCTGGAAAATGGGAATAACACCAGTCTGTACCCCAGAGTTTGGTGTGAGGGAGAAATGAGATAATGCAGCAAAGGGCTCGGCCCAGTGCATTGCTGGCAAGTCGAACGTGCTCAGTAACTGGCTCCCGGGTTGAGAGGTGGGCAGCTAGTGGTAGCATGGTTTCTGAAGCCAGACTGCCTGGACCCAAATTCTGGCTATGCTGCTTATTAACTGTGTAATGTTGCAAGGTTTCTTAACCTCTCTGTGCCTCAGTTTCCACCTCACTAAACTAAGGGGAGGAGCCCTGGTAGCACAGTGGTTAAGCATTAAGATGCTCACCGAAAGGTCAGTGGTTCAAACCCACCAGCGACACCACAGGAGAAAGATGTGGCAGCCTGCTTCCGTAAAGATTACAGCCTTGGAAACCCTCCCTGGGGAACAGTTCTACTCTGTCGTATAGGGTCGCTATGAGTCGACGGCAACAGATTAATCCAACAGATTAATCCAAGGAGAATAATATTATCTACTTTACAGGGTTGTAAACAACTTGCCGTAGAGTAGATTCCAACTCATGGCAACCCCAGGCATGTCAGAGTAAAACTGTGCTCCATAAGGTTTTCAGTGGCTGATTTTTCTGAAATAGATCACCAGGCCTTTCTTCCAAGGTGCCTCTGAGTAGACTTAAACTTCCAACCTTTGGGTTAGCAGCTGAGCACGTTGCCCATTTGCACCATCCAGGGACTCCTACAGGGTGGTAGTGAGGATTAAAGGAACTCGTGCATGGGAAGCACTAGAATAGTGCCTGGCATGTAGTGAGCTCAGACGTATTTGCTCCGTAATCATAATAGCGTTAGCTATTGCAGTTATTATCCACCCAGCTTTGAGGGGCCAGGTCTAATTTGGGGTGGAAATGTCAGAAGTCTCCTCCATGTGTGCCCCATGGAGGAACATTTCAATGGTTATAAAGCCCATTTTTTCACTTTTTTCCCTTCAATAGAATAGGTCACTGAAGTTATATGACCATGTATACAGGATTCCATAAAGACATGTCACGGCCCTCACCCCTCCTGGGCGCTGCAGGCTGGAGAAGTGCACGTTGGGGATAAACAGAACCGGTGGGGTCTCCAGGTCTGTCTCAGGTCTCAGGTAGGTGGTCTCATTGCCCCGGAAGCCAGACAGTAGGCAGCCTTTGATGCCTGCTGGGAAGAAGAAGCCATTGTGCCCTAAAGTCCTTCCATTCATTCTCCCAGACCCGCTGGTGTCCCCCTCCACTTCACCTCAGCCTGGCCCAGCACACCCCAGGCCCTCCCGGTTCCCCACTGACCACTGTTGCTGGAGTCGGGGCACTTGGCTTTCCTCCGGAACTGCTTCCGCTCATCATCCCGCATTTTCCTCTCGGCTCCCTGCGAAGGGAAACAGGGTTACCAAGGCCTCCGGGAAGGGCTGGCTGCTTTCCCAACTGCTGCTTTGCATCTTAAATATGGGCCAGGCTTCTGGTGCTGCTTTCTTTCCAGAGCAAGACTAGGAAATGGGAAGGTACCAGCGCTTGGCCTGGCCTGGCCCTGCCTGACTGAGGTCAGTACAGGCCCTGAGAGAGACAGAAACAGAGACAGACAAAGAGAAATGGAGAGTCAGAGAGAGAGACAAGAAGAAAAAAGAGGGAAAGTGAGAGACAGAAAGACAGAAAAAGAAAGAGATACACAGAGAGATTTATAGAGACCAAGAATGAGACAGAGACAAGGGGAGAGACAGAAATGCAGAGATACAGAGAAAGATACACATAGAGAGACAGATAGACAAATGTCAACCCTATGGAGAGAGATAGACATTCAGAGAGCGAGAAACAGAACAAGAGCAGCTGGGAGGACACCGGGACCAGCCTGGCTCTTCTCCCTCCCCAGGGGCCCACAGAAGGTCTGCCCGCCCGGCTGCCCGGCCGCCCACCCCCCAACCTGCCGGCCATGTAGCCACCTTGTCACAGAAGATCTTGATCTGGCAGACGGCGCGGTGTACTAGGCGCTCAGTGCCCGAGCCACAGTCGTAGGTGTCAATCTGTAGGTTCAGGGGGACACCCTTTACCCCCTTCTGCGAGGAGAAGTCTGTGCTCAAGCAGTTGACGCCGATGAATACCTGGGGACAGAGGGAAGCAGGTAAACGGCCTGCCCAGGTCACCAGCCCTGCTATCGCACAAGAACTCTGACCTGATAGCCCTTCCCCCCACCAGAGCACCTATTTATTGAGCCTACTGTGCACCTAGTTTGTGCTGTTAATCCTCACAAAGCCCCTGGAAGGCCAACATCGCTGCCTCTCCTCTTTTACAGATGGGGAAACTAGTGCTCAGAGAGGTGGGGCAACTTTCCCAAGGCAGCACAGGGCATGTGTGGTAGAGCCAGAATTTGAGGCCAGACCAAAAGCCCAGGTTCTTAACCACTGAGTGACACACCTCCCACTAGACTGCCAGGGACAGCCCAATCATCGTGGTCCTGGGAGGGATGTTAAGGGACCCTCAGCAGCTTAAAATCCAGGGCGTCATTTTTCCTTGACTCAAAACGGCGAGGTAGAGAAGGGCTAAATCCCCCTCCCCCCAGCGTAGGACTAAGACCATGTTTCTGCCTGCAGGGGACACAGAGAATGAGACAAGCCACTCTCTACCCCCAGCCACAGCTCCAGCCATCACTGGGCCCTTTAGCAAGAGGGTTCACTTCTGTCAACTTCTTTGGTCCCACCCCAGCACAGTAAAGGAGACATCCTGGTCACCCCCATTTTACAGATGAGGAGATAGAGGCTCTGAGCAGCGAGGTGACTTGCTGACGTTTTCACGTGGATTGAGGCAGGGGTGCAGAGCAGGACCTGGCTGTGGGGCCACCCAGACCTGGGGTGGAAAGTTGGGCTTTGCTACTCAAGCCATGTAACTTTGGACAAATCCTTTAACCTTGCTGAGCCTCAGTTTCCTCATCTGCAAAATGGGGATAATTAAACCCTCCCTGTGGGCTGTGAGGAGTGTGCCGAGCACCTAGTGTGCTTGGCATGTAATGACTGCTCCATATGTTGTGACAGTTGCTGTGAGTGGGACAGCTGGAAGTGTCAACCCGAAGCTAAGCCAAATGACGTAGCCTGGGGTCAGTCTCAGAGACTCAATCTGGCAAGGTTACCTGGTGACTGTCTACCTGCTGACCCCCTCCATGGGGCTCCAGGGCCAGATCCTCACCCCAGGTTGGGCCCTGTTCTTTGGGACATATCCCTTGGGACATTTGCCTTGGAAATGACCCGTTGCTGAACAGCTGGGGTGCAGTGTGGTGCCTGAGCAGACCCCTTCCTTCCCCTGCTGTGGGGGCCAGTACCCCAGGCACATGCCAGACATACCTCCCCCTCAGCCAGCACAGCCCCATCATAGTCCCCACCTGAGAAAGGCCCAAGCCTGGGGGCTTAAGAGGCTGTGAGAAAATCCCAACCGAAACCCACCGCTCCTTTCCCATGAAACTCTCCCCCTGCTCCCCCTAAACTGGAGGCCCCAGCCCCTCCCCCATCCCCTGGCGTTTGTTTGAATAATAATAATCCCTAGCCTTTGTGCCTCCCTTTGTGTGTTCAGCACTCCTTCACCTCCATTGTCACCAGGCAGCCAGGACCGCCCCATGAGACGGGCAGGGAGGCAAGGCTTAGCCCCCCAGCCTGTCCAGGCAGAACTGCCTTTGAGATGAGCTGGACCCCACCCTCATCTGATGAGGTGAGCCTGGCCAGGGAGGGGAAGGGACAGGCCCACCGTCACCCAGCCCCCGACTCCCAGCTGAGTGCCCTTTCACAGTGCCTGAGATAAACATCTCCATCTGGCCAAACAGAAAACCAGGACACAGAGATGCTCATAAGCTCATGGCAAGTTCATGGCTGGGCTCAAGTAGTAAGGCTGGGAAGAGTCTTAATCGCTTAATCACTGGTGTAAAAAAATCACTAGAGGCTCCCATTTATCAGGCCTCTCTGATGGGCCCGGCACTAGGCCCGTCTCAGACATTCATGATCTTGCGGAATCTTTACCACAGCCCCAGGAGGCAGATGATTGTTTCATCTACCAAACTCCAAAGTCTTTCTCCTGCAACACTCCGCACTGACCTGCAAGTAAGAAACCTGGGCACCATCCGCAGCCTGGCCTCTACCGTACTACGTGACCTTGCACAAGGCTGTTTCCCCATTTGGTAGATGGGAGGATGGGATTAATAATAACTGCCACCACTTATGTACCAGGCCTGTTTTCTACCTTTTACCACTCTTTCCTGATCCTCACTACAACCTATCAGTTGATGCTATGATTACACCCTTGTTTTACAGCCGAGAAAACTGAGGCTCAGGGGACTGAGTCACTGGTCCAAAGGACACACAGCTGGTAAGTGGAAGCACTGGGATGTGAGTCCAGCCTGTCTGACTCCAGAGCCTGAGCTCCTACACCACTCTGTCTTGCCTTCTCCACTGGCGCCCTCATTGGAGCAACTAACTGCCATAGTCTTGAGTACAGGCAAATGCCTCTCTCAGGATGAGGGCTTCCTGGTGGCCCAGCCGCTTCCCAGACGTCCCTCCTGCACTGACCTTGGCCTCCTCATTGACGTTCCACATGAAGGACAGCGCATTATAGGCCACCTCCTCGATGTGCTGCACGGTGTTGAAGTTTTCTTTGCAGTCAGCTGAAACCACATAAGACCAGAGGAGAGTCAGGAGGTAAAGACATTGAGGAGGAAGCTCTTAGGAGCGAGGCTTCACTCCTGGCAGGGGCACACCTCCTCTCCCCAAGAACCACACTGCAGTCCATGGAAGAAGCTGGATTGTTGTGCATTGGGTTACAGATGGGAAAACTGAGGCCCAGCCTGGGAAGCAGATTTGCCTAAAGCCCCTGAGGAAATCTCTAGCTTTGCTGACTAGGCCAGGGCCCTCCCCATTTTTGAGTTGGAGTTACACTTTTCATTGGGATTGTGAGTTAGGAGATCTACCGGGTAAAGCAGTGTTAGTAGTAATAGTAATAATAGCAGTAAAAGTGGTAAGTAATAGCAGTAGTAAAAGTAGTAGTATCGGTAATAATAACAGTAGCAGCTACCATGGGACACAGACAGTATGGCAAGCCTTCAGTTCATCCTCACAACTACGCTACGAATATTCAGTTTACACAAGAAGAAAATGAGGCCCAAGGTCATACAACTAGTAAGAATCAAAGCAAGGACTGGAGCCCAGATCTGTCTGGCTCCTGAGCCCATGCCCTAACCACTCTGTTATCAGCGCTCCCAGATAAGTCATTCACTAGTCCCCTCTTTGTATTGTGTTCCATAGTACACATGGCCCTGAGGCAGAAATCATCTTGTGAGACAGGCAGGGCAGCTGGCCTCCATTTGACAGTTAAACTAAGGCTCAGGGAGGAGAAGTGACACAGGTCACACAGCCAGGAAGAGAGTGATGGAGCCAGGACCTGGACACCCAAGGATGGCTGTGGTTCCTATCCCTTGTGGGGGCCCAGGACAGGAACAGAGTAGCACACACAGAGGACTTTCACCCTGCCCACTGCCTGCTGACAGACCCTGAGGGTCCCAGCTCCCAAAGCAGAACTGCCTCCCACTGGGCCTGAAGGCCTTCAAATCACTGCTGCCTGCACTGTTATCTTATGCATTTGTGTCTCAACTGGCCAACCCCCTTGATGGGGACAGGCAGGTCAGTACCCTAGGGGCCTATTTATCTATACTGCTGGGGTCCCCAGGGCCCTGTTTATCCCAAAGCAACACAGAAAAGAGGCCTCTGCTTCCAGTCAACAGATGGAAATCCCTGTGAAGAGCCACAGTGTTTGACCTGGAGACCAGGACCAGGCAGGAGGTCATGGAGGTCAGAGCGGGCTGGGGAAAAAGGGGCACAGCAAGGAGGTCTGATGGTGTGTGTGCTTGTGGTTTTCTACTTGATGTTGTTGGTTGTGGTTGAGTTGATTTCGAGTCATGGTGACCCCATGTGTTGCAGAGTAGAACTGCTTCATAGGGTTTTCGAGGCTGTGACCTTTCAGAAGCAGATCACCAGGCCTTTCTTCCGAGGTGCCTCTGGGTAGGTTTGAACCACCAACCTTTCGGCTAATTGTCAAGAGCTTTGCTGTTTGCGACACCCAGGGAACCACAGGTTTCATACTAACACTCCCTTATCCTGAATGAGGGGTCCTACATTCCTGTAGAGTCGGTAACAGCACACAACCAGTCCTGGTTTTGAATTCTGTTCTGCCACTAGCCATGTGATTACGGAGAAGTTGTAATATCTCTGTGGCTTCAGCTCCTCATCTGAAAGGTCAGAATGATCACAATACCTTCCCCTTCCCCACTGGGTTGCTCTGAGGATAAATGAGCACAGCACCTGGCATAAGGTCAGCCCTCAATAAATGTAAGTGCTCTAATACTAAAACTTATTCACAAACACATGAATTATTAAGTAATTATTACTATTATTTCCACCTCTCTCCACAGTAAATTTAATTTTAATAAATTGCTCAAAATCACATGGCTAAAAAGTAGCAAAGTCAGGATTTAGAATCTGATCCCAGAGTCCATGCAGCTTCTAACCACTGTACTTTGCTGTAACAGACGGATGGAGAGGGAAGGCCTACAATGAGTCAAGAAGTGCCCGTGGGAATCATTTAATCCAAGTACCCCCTGTTATAGGGGAAACCGAGGCCCAGAGAGAAGAAGTGATGTGCCCAGGGTCCCCCGTAGTGGCAGGCCTGGGACTAGTGCCCGGTTCTCACCCTCCCTCCCATCTCCACCCCGACGGTTGTGTGGACTGGGATAGGGGCCCAGGCAGGCTCTCACCCACGTCGATGACCCGCTGCTTGGCTGTAGGCTGCCGGGAATGCCAGTGCTTCCAGAACCGCAGCTGCTCCACTGGGACCTTCTCGTTGTCAAAGACGACCATCACCACACTCTGCAAGGACAGCAGATCACTGTTATCCCCAGGTCAGACCAGTCCCTTCCCAGAGCCTGCATCAGTGGCTCTGTCCCTTTGCCTCAGTTTTCCCCACCCTGTGGCAATGGGCAATTATTCAACAGCACCTACTCCCTGGGGTCCCTGGCTGGCCCTACTAGTGCATGTGTCTTGTCCCATTCCACCCCCTTCCCAAGCTACTCCAAGGCCAACACACCTTGACTTTGCTGGAGGACAAGGCAAGGCCTTTGCCACCTGCTGGGGTCCGAAGGGTGACAGGGTAGAACTGGCTCTTGTTGAGGTAAGCCATGGGTGACTCTCCCGACTTGACGTGGATGGCTTTGGGGGATCCCAGGGTGTACTCAAAGTCACTGCAGGGAACGGGGAGAGGGCAGTGAGGCAGGGCTCCCAGGCAGGAGTATCCCAGAGGGCAGTGGGCAGGAGACTTTGTCATAGACTTGCCCATGACCTTGGTAGATTTAGTTTCCTGGGCCTCAGTTCCATATTTTGGGAATTTTCTTTAATGGCATTGTTGAGCCATGGTCCACTGAACAATGAGGGACCAATGGTGACCAGAGAGACCCCTGAGGGATGACAAAGCCACAGGGGAGACTAAGGGCAACAGAACCCCAGTTTTCTAACAGGATGCTGAGCACTGACCATTTGTAGATTATGCTCTGGGGACAGTGTGGGGCTCTGTCTGCAGCCCCCTGCCCACTGCCCACGTGGTCAAGGGCCCAGAGGGGCTGAGTTACCTCTTAGGGTTGGGGTAGTCCTCTGGACACGGGGGTTCTGGGGATGTTTTCAGGATATCTGGAAAGAGCAGCGTCTGCAGAGAAACACAATTCCAAGAGAATAAATGGCAATGTTCAGCTACTGGGACCTCAGGCTAGGGCTGCCACATACACCTAGTTGGTTGTCCAGTGTACAACCTGGACAACTGTACATGGCAACCCTGCCTCAGCTCTAGGAATGTTTTTCCCATTTTCCCATATATTCCAAAGCCCTGCCCTCCTCACTGTCCTCTCCCCTTCTGCACAGGCACGCACACACACACACACACACACACACATGCAGGGAAGCTGTGTGGGACATGGGGGTGAGCCCTCACCTCCTGAGGATCATCTTTGAAGGTGCTGTCTGGCTGCCAGCGCTGTGTAGGTGGTGCCCCGTGAATGCTCTCAAACAAGGAGTTGAGGGAGCTGTTATCATACACATCACTGGTGGGCAACAGGTAGCTGTCCACAGAGCCAGCTTCCAGCTTGCTGGGGCATGGGGGGAGGGGAGTTGCCTTGCCAGGGGTGGATACAGCCCCTTCCAAGCTCATCAGGTCATTCTTCTTGAGCAGATCCAGGTACTCTGGGGTCCCAGACACATTCTCAGTCAGGAATTTCATGAGGTGCGTGGGGCTTTCAAGGGGGGCGAGGTCCGTCTCATATTCCATGCCGTGGTAGTACCTGGGGAGGAAGAGAAGGGCTAAGTGAGAACATCACCTCTCTGGTGTGGAGGCACAATGCCCTAGGCCAGTTTGTTACGGGTGAGCAGGAGGGTGTCGAAGACGGAACTAGGTACAGGCTTGGGGTTGAGGGGAAAAATGTCTCCTTTACCCATTGCAGTAGTTAGTAGTTTAAAAAACTGAAATTCGAGTTATTTCTTAGCCAAAGTCAAAATGTCCCTGTGTCAAAATGTCCCCACTTCAAAACAACAGTATTAAGTGAACCCGCGGGGAGAGGGGGAGTATGTATCTGTAAGTACAGTTAATATACGTAGAGAAAAAAGTCTGGAAGGATATAACCCCAAACTGTTAAGGGGGACAGAGGAGTAGGATTACAGGAAAGGTTCACTTTTTACTTTATACATTTCTATAGAGTTGGAATATTTGACAACAAACAGGTATTGCTTTTGTCATCAGAAACTCTAATATTATTTTTAAAAATTAATTTTGAGGAAGGTCCCTAGTTCCCAGCAGTGGAGGGCAGTGGCCCTGGGCCTCTGCCTAAGCAGTCTGGATTTTCCTGCAGGCAGAGAGAGCCCAGAAGAGTTCCAAGCAGAAGCCCTAGATGGTCATTTTTGAGAGGTCACCTGACTGACCAGAAGGAGAAAGTGGGGAAAGAGGGGCAGGGTCCTTCCCACGCTCATCAGGTCATGAGCATCGCCTCGGCTGCTTTCTTCAAGGAAAGGAACATCAGTGCCCCGAGGCACTAATGCCAGGCAGAGGCCCATGCAAGCCAGGGGAAGAAGTACAGGAACTCAAGTGACCCACGCCCAGGGTGTTCCTCCCCAGTGGAGGCTGCAGGGAGGAGGGCTTTGGAGCTGGGACAGAAAAGCTGGCCCTAGGGCTTTTCCACCACTAAGGCTTTGAAGTTTGTTTTCAGTAAACTTGGCCCACATGGCCTGCAGGCAACAGGCATCTGGGATGTGTGTGTGTGTGTGAGTGTGTGCATACTTGTGTGTGTGCGTGCGCGCGCAGTCGGCTAGTGAGAGGGAAAAAGGTTCCCGGGGCCTCATTTGAATTAAAGTGCAGGCACGGGACAGAGTACTAACAGAGAGAATTCCCAGGAACAGCTGACCAGAAGCCATGTGGGCAAATGGCTGGGATGGGGATAAAAGATGTTGTGAATGCAAGCAAGCACAACGGGCCAGGACCAGTGAGCATAAGGCCCACAG